GTTTTTGTAATTATAATTTTACACTTCACTTGCCTCGTTAATAAATAAAGCCACGAGTGTTATGAAGGTATTTAAGGAAGACACCAACATGCAGCGATTTGTCCAAACATTGTCATACTTTGACATTCTTAAAACATCGGCTTTTTCCATGACCCAATTATAGATTAACATATAAATATTACCGTATACTTAAGTACAGTATAAGGAATATTAATAATACGTCAAAAAAAAAATCTGTTTCAGATGCTCAAAATTTTGCAAAAAAAATATTAAACAAGTACTCGCCAGGTCGATATTTCCTAACATCGAAGGCAAACATACGAGCTTATGTACACGTGTCTTTGTCCTGGTCACATTCCGACACAATCGGTTGCCACCATGTTGTGCTGGAGGATTGTCACATGACCGTTACGAACTGGAAACCGACCACACGTGTACATACAGGAACCTCCAATTACGCCCAGTCACTCCAAGCGCCATTGACTGTACAATTAAACAAGTTAATAACGCAATGAGTTTTAATATTTAACCACTTAATTAAAATATGTCGGATTATATCATAATAAATTTTTTTAAAAACTCAGACTTTCCTTCAATGACATGTTGACTTATAACAAATGAAAACACTCGCCATACATACAATACAGATGTAATACTGTGTAATAATAAATAATGAATAATAATAAAATGAATGAATATGAATAATAATTGAAAATAATAATAATAATAATAATAATAATAATAATAAAATAATAATTATATATAATAAAAAATAATAATAATAAAAAATAATAATAATAATAATAATAATAATAAATGTAAAATATAATAATATAAAATAATAATAATAATAATAATAAAAATGAAAATAATAAATTAATAATAATAATAATAATAATAATTAATATAATAATAATAATGGTTCTTGCGCTGCAAATGTGAATGGTTTATTTAATCTTGTAATCAAAATTTGAATAACGCTTATGTATATAAACTTAACCTAAGAAAGTATCTAATGTCTTACTTTGATTATATCATTTGAACTTGTAAACAGTTTTTAAAGGTCAAAACCATTTATTTATCTATTTATGCAAGTGTTTATATATTATTTTCAAATGTAAATTGAATACGTTTGTACAGAATATTGAATCCTATTAAATGTATAAACTATTTCCTTAGACTTCGTTGAATGCTCAGTAAAATACCTTCTTATTTACATATACCTTGTAATTGGAAACCCCCTATGTTTCTCATGCAATACGCTAATTTCCTGAAACAGTTTATGCCTGTTTGAATTGTACATACCTGGACAATGATTGGAATTGGAAAAAAAAAAAAAAAAAAAAAAAAAGATGGAGGGAGGAGAAGTGGGGAAGTGCAGGAAAGGCTCTCTGTTCCCGGAGCCGACACAGTCGAGACCGAAATTCGCTGGTGCTGGTTGTCACAGTTACGAGTCCTCTCCTTTGTACCGGACTGAGAACCACACGTGCTGAACACGTACCCCAAGTAGCCCAGTCACCCCATTGTCCGTCAACTTTTGAAAATAAATATGACGTTATATTCTAAATGCACATCTTTTGTATTTATAATATATATTGACGAATGGTTCTCCCAAGACGCAGCTTTTAACAGGTGTAGCAATGTCAGACTATATGCCAAATAGAAATTTAAATATGATGATCAATAAGTTAATGAAGTTCATTTACCCCAAACTGCAAAAAAAAAATCTTTTTGGTTTGCAGTCTGCAAAAAAAAATCTTAGAATTGTCCTCGAGTAGGTTAAAAGGTTTAAAACAAACAAAGAAAACAGTGCAGTACGTAAATAATAAACTTGTGCTATTGTGGGCAATAACCAAATTCATCGATTGGGTTTAACGGCTTAAAACAAAACAAAAGGAAAGCAGTACAGTACATTAATAATAAATTTGCCTCTTTGGGAAAATCCAAATCCTCCATCGGGTTTAAAATGGCTTAAAAGACAACAAAGAGCAGTACAGTACATAAATAATAAATTTGCCTCTTGGGTCAAAAGCCAAATCCTCCATTGGGTTTAAAAAATTTAAAACAAATAAAAGGAGAGCAGTTCAGTTCATAAAATAAACTTGCCTCTTGGGGCAATAGCTAAATCCTCGTCAATACTACCATCACCTCGTCATCGATACCGTTTATCAGTTTCTTCGTCAAAGCCTTCCGATCAACAGTCATTGTCAACACCATCGCCTGCATCCGTTGAAGTTGAGCTACACGGCTAGAGTCAGAATACAGACTTTGATTGATTGGTTCTAATTATGCTAATAATGCTATAAATATGAGTCAGTTTTAAAAGTTTTGTATTTCTTGTGGTAGAAAATTATCCGCCCGTTTAAAAATTTGTGGTACTTAGTCAAAGCTAGACAGACTCGCATATACCATACATTCGTTTCCCCTATCACTTGCAAAGGAACAAAAAATACATTTTAATTGTCATATTGATCAAAATAACAAATTACAATGGATTGAAATAATTACTTATGCTCTTAAAGTGACATTATGCTCATTCTTTTATTGCCAAGTGTAACACAATTCTGAAAAGTTCAAAAGATTGACTGTTATATTGGTGATTATCTAAACAGAATATTGGAATATGTTTGAAAAAAATATGAATTTGCTTCAATATAAAATATACTGCCTCATCTTTTTATAAAATGAACGTTACAGTTGAATCAATTCAAGAAGATATTTACAGAAATTTACTTAGGCCACGTAGGATATCTATCGTTCATGCGAAGTAAGGTATCAAATTGAAAGAAATCATTGCAAACTTATTGAAAGAAATAATGGCAAACTTATTTGTCTGTCACCCGTTCACGTCAATATATACCCTCGGATAGCCATAATACCCACTATAAGGGAATTAGATATCATTATGCGACAATCAACGGAAGTTAACTACAGTATAATCCCATTAACTACTCACAATATATTGAATGTGATTAACAATTTAAATAATATTTATAACTGAGTTGTATTGTCTACAACTTCACATATATAAACTTACCAAATTAATAGGAGCAAGGCGCGTTCCGGGCTGCATATGCAATAGAATTATACTGAGCATTTCCATAGGCTATTCCAAGAAATGGATGAGCTGGTACAGTATTGTAAATATTGTGAGAGCCAGGACTGACGCTGACAAATGTACCGATGTAATCACTGTTGCCAAGAACATCTACCCAAGTAGCAGTCATATTAGCGTTATCTAATACAAGGTCATCAGCATAATCTCTCAAGGTGACGACGATGATGTAATTGTTAAAATCGCCAGCTGTAGTGGTTACTGTACTCCACGTGTAATCCGCGTGGTACAATTCGACTGGAGCGCAAATAGATATAGCAGGGTCTCCACCATTTACTCCATCGTTTGTATATGATTTACCGATAGTTTTACTGTAAACAGCCACTTGAATTCCCTTCGAAGCATTCACCCAGGTGTATTGATTTTGAGGAAAATTATGGATATCATATTCGTTCGCTTGAAGAGTGTGATCAACACCGTCCACAGTGTAGATCGTGTTATCTTCGGAGGCAAAAATGCGTACGAAGTCACCAATAACACGTTCTGGTGATGGGAAAGTGATGAAATTCTTTCCCCAGCTTTGTGTTGGGACCAGTTGCTCGACCAAATGATCTGATGTTATTTCAGTATTTGTATCTAGTACGGTTGTTTTGTAGTTTCCACTGAATGCCGAGATGGGAGCTGTTGAAGTTATTCTTGTACCGCTTAGATCACCTAAAGCACTGAATAAATGGAATGTTTGGAATCGATCTATTGTTACTGTCAATGTGTCGCCAGCTGCATAAGTTACCCCTTGGTATGAAAACGAATCTGCATAACTGTTTGATATTTGAAATGACACATCTGTCCCGTCGGTAACAGCAGCTACCATAATTTCAGGAGTATCAACAGAAGAAACGGCCACGTAATCATTGCCTATTGCATCGACGGGGTATGCTACAAAGCCGTCGGTAGAAAACTTTTCTTTATTTACAGCATAAACGGTTATGTCCTCTGTTGAAATAAAGTGTACTCCTAAGCCAGCAATGCTTGTCCCCTCACCACGGATAGTAGCAGGAATATTCAGTGGAGTTATGGTACCCCGACTAACAGTAAGTTGTTGCAACCAGGTGGCGTCAAATAATGGCGTGGTTACATTGACCTATAAAAATACATTATCATGAAAATGTAAAGAACCAAGTTTCTGTGGTGCGATGTATGTGTGCATTAGAAGGAAGATTGTTATTTCCTTGTCTCCACTAGCTTTTTTTTTAAATTACGAGACTTGAAATATCTTTTTTCAAAGATAATTACCCCATTTGATGAAGGTTTAGATCAATTTGTTGCGTTCAAAATTTCAGATCATTTACTCTCTACGTTTTTCAAGAATAATTATTAAAAACCGATCCAAAAATGATCCAAAACTGAGTTGTAACGCTTTTTACTCAAAGCGGACTACTATTTCATCGAAACACGATTTTCAATTTATTCGGAATACATTTCCTAATCATTCTTTTCTTGTTTTGTTAAAATATATGTAAGAAATTCAAATTTTATTTGGTTTTTTTATGCGTTTGGATCTCAGTGTAGTTCTTTTAAGTCTACAGTGACCTGGGGTCTTTAATTTCAGTGACGAAACATACAAAATCTTGAACACTGCTTCAAAAAGGGTTTACAGCTTAACTGAGAAATCTTTTCTCAAATGCTTAAGCGAAATTAACGATTGGTCTTAAAAGTTTAGACCTAAAAACAATTACGCTTTTGGAGAAGAACAATTTATTAATATGAAACCGATGATATACTAGTAACTATTTTTTAATAGATTAAAAACATAAAAGAATATTTTTATCATAAGACCACAAACGTTTTTTGTATTAACATAATTATTTGTATTTATTTAAACAATGAAATATTCGTGTTTTTTTTCAGCTTTAGGTATTCATGATATGTACATATTCTCCGTGTTGCTTTTTTTAGTGCCAAAAATGCCAGATAATTATATATACTTAGAATAAATGAAAAAAAAACAGAAAAAAACCCCAAAACAAATGTAATTTGTGGGCATATATATATTTTAGCTTCAACGTGAAACTTGGGATAAAATGTTGGCTTCACTCAATGTTTGTGCAGACTGGGCATTAATGTTTTGAGTAAATATAGCAATCCATTTGTCTTACCTGTGCATCTACATTTGATGTTGTAGTCATAAAAACTTCGATGTCAAATGATGAGCCGCCAGAATATATTTGGTTGTCCATGAAACAGAGCATAAACTCCTTCCCCATGTTATTAAGGGCTGAAATTAAAACGTCATATATACCTTATCCAAAATGACACTGAACATTAAGCAAGTAATTGTCAATAATTGAAAATATCAATAGAAATAGCTACACTAAACAAGAAGGATCTTAAAAAAGATACTTAACCGTGGTAAACCTAGTTAAAATATTTTGCATTATTTCTAAGTCAGTTCTGTGTGAACAGATTGTTATTTATTACAAAGGACTAATAAGGCCCCAGATAGCATTCTATATGGGACCCATGTGGGGCCCATATGGGCACCTATATGGGTCCCATTTGGGCTGCCCATATGGGCCCCATATAGGAAGTGCAACCGGGTTCCAAATGGGTCCCATCTGGGCAGCCCTTATACTCAATATGGGATTCACATGCGGCCCCATCTGGGCAGCCCATTTACACAATATGGGCCCCACATGGGCAGCCCTTGTACTAAATATGGGTTTCAAATGGGCAGCCCAGATACTTCCATTATGGGTAGATTTTGAATTCCGGGGTAGATCTATTTTCAATTACTTCAATTATAAGTTTGCTGGACGTTAAGATAGCAACCGCTTGCTACAGAGCATGATTCTTGTACTTGCATTAAATACTCAAGTGATGTTTTAACTCATTCTGTTTCCTGGAACAGACAGATTATGCACAAAGCCTATATGATCATGCAAGAAAACAATACACAATGTATATGCTTTAACAATGTAACTTTATTTAGTAATCTCACTTATGGTAAGTGTATATCATATATATACAGGCTCTCAATACATTCTGTGGACGCCTGATGTCAACAAAGAAACCTTTACTTATGTAAATAAACTTAGAAAAGTGTACAATATAAAAATCCGAGTAAACTGTACATATTTGTAAATCCATAGAATTTCATTTTGACTAAATAGTTTTTAATTCAAAAATACAGAAATATTAATTATTATTCAAAAAGTCCTATGTAGTAAATATTACTTTGGTACACTATAAAATAAGCAACATGTAATGGAAAACTGTTTATAATGTACGAACAAAATAATTAAAAAATGCAGTTTTAAACATTAGATACCTTACAGATCACTACAAGGAAAAATGAAACTTATGCTAGACACTGGTAAAAACTTTACAGAAGGTCTTTGGAACTCCAAGAAATATATGTGTATAATGTTTTAAATTTCAGTGAATCAACAGTATGACCCCAAATGTCTTTTAACTTTCTACATTCATAGAAAAAGTATTATACATTTACTGTAATTCATTACAAATTTCTATCTACCAATTACTTTCATTTTCAAATGATATAAATCTACATCAATTAATATAAAAAGTTGTTCATTACAACCATGTATTACACTTTGGTATGGTAGTGCTGAAGAAAAAAAAATGTTATGCAAGCTCGTGAAAAAGTAACAAATATGATAAAACAAAACCTTGGCACAGTTGTAATACTGTTCATAGATGTGTAAACAAAATATTATGCAGCTGATGAAAAAAAATTAATATAATTAACAAAACCTTGGCACGGTTTGTAATACTGTTTATAGACGTGTGGACAAAATATGCAGCTAATGAAAAGTAACAAATATAATACACAAAAATCTTGGCACATTGAAATACTGTTTATAGACATGTAAACAAAATATGCAGCTGATGAAAAGTAAAAAAATAGTTTGTACAAGTTTGTAAAAATCAATAATAATTAAAAATGTGATATTACACAAAGATCAAATTTGTTGTGAAGAAATTCATTAAAAAAATTGTCAGTAAAAATAGTTGGTTTCAGTAATTTCTCCGATATTTTCAAAGTTTCAACAATAAAACAATAAAGATTACAAGAATCATCATTGTAAAGTATTTCAACTTTATTTAAAGGTTAATACCATATCAATACATGTGTTCCTGTAGTGTCAAGTTTTTGACAAGATGTTATAATTGTATTGATCAGTATCAAAAAACATTCCCAAGCATTTAATGTCTTGATTTAAATAGTAAACAATGTATTTTGTTTGTTTGTTTCATTTTACGCCTTTTACGTCATATAGGCGGGTAGTTCCTAACCATCGTTTCTGGAGAGTTACACCAGTACTAGACTACCTTCCTCCGTGCAGTAACAATGTTTAATTAAAAAAAACAACAAAAACAGCATATAGACAACAGAAAAACAGCATATAATGTCAACAACTAACGTAACATAGCAGCAGAATATACTGACTAGAAGGCAAAATTTGACTAGACAAGAATTTTGCATTTTACAAGAAAGACATGCTATGCTGATGACCTCAAACATTAAAATTAGCAAAAAAAAAGTATAACAAGATAAACAAATGAGCCGCTTACTGTAGTTCTGACCCTTATCACATTTAAAAAAATACCTTGATACATATTGACTTTCGATCAGTGGAATAACTTATATGCAGATGAAGTAAAGGTTTTGAAAATTTAAAATAAAAGTCATTTATTTTATGCTTTTGAGTGTATTACTGATGTATCCGTGAAAAATATTTTTTGATAATTTCACAGTGAAATGATTAAAATTTCAAACTTTTCTATGACGAGACTTACTTTTAAAGATTTTATCATCATTCAAATTTTTTGAATTCAATAAATAGTATCATGGCTATTCAACGTTGATTGTCAAACTTATTTTTCAGCCCAAGACTTCCTGTATTTATGAGAAATTGGACTTAAATTCAACTAAAATTGATGTTGACAGTGGTGAAAACAGATTTAATATTAACGTTAATATTGAGGAAATTTCATTAGCATAAAATAAAAAGACACTTTATTTGTTCGTTGTGTAAGATGTAATTTTATATCATTGAAGGAACTTTAAAAAAAAACAGTGTTCTCACGAGCGCATAGCCACTCATGAGAATACTGTTTTTTAAAGCTCTCTTGATGATACAAAATTTTCATCTTACACACAAACAAGCAAATATCCTCTATAAATTTGCATTTTTAAAATTAAAAACATGTCTAGTCACTTCCTTCATTTTCTTCAGGTAAGGTCTCTGACACCTTTCTTTCTTGCTTTCCTTCCCCCATCGCGGTCCCGCCGCGCCTAGCCAGCCACTTTGAAACCTCTATTTCAACATCCTTCCTCGTTGCAGCCTTTGTCGGCAAGTTCCTTTGGACACATTCTACAAAACAAGCATTCTTATCCTTAAAGAATGAAATGAAGGTATTGAAACCATTCAAAGGTCATAAGCCACCTTGTAGCATTTTGAGCAGTATAAATTGGAATATAAACTAATTCTGGTATGTTTTACCAAATATAGATGTTTGTTTCCTGGTTTTACATAGCTTTTAACAATATTTCTGTGATATCGCTGCAGTCAGTTGTAAGCTGAGATCATCTTATCGGTGTATCAGTAAAGAATGTTAAGGTAAGCAAATAACTTGCTTTACAGGAAGGTGATTTCTGTTTATATTATGCATCACAACACAATGCATGGGATCAAAAACCACACAGCATGTAAAATATTCTCTCTTATTAATTTCCATAAAAGCTAGCCAAGCATTTTCCTTCATTAAAGCAATACCCGAAGACACAATAACAAGATCTTGGATAATATATCTATTTTGAAGACACCACTTTGCAAATTTGTAAAAAAATCACTTACTATACAATACTATCAGTATCTAGAGGCCCCATAAACTTTTTCTTCCCCTTCAGCCACTTCAATATTGTACATTCTTGCCAGTTCATTTGACATGGTTTCTTTCATCAAGCGGTCAACAGTTTCCCGTACATCTGCCATACCAAACATTGAGAGAAACTGCACCTTAAATAAAGCAGAACATAAACTTTTTTTAATGTTAATTTTAACACTAGTAAGTGATGGGCTGCAAGTCACCAAATGACAAAAAAATTGTCAACTGGACCTCAAAAACATGATTGCCAAGAAAACTGTTTGGAATAACATATTTAAAGATCTTTCCTCATATATTTACAGCCTAGGACAACACCTTAGTGACTTGTGCCTTTATGTTTGTCCCCTTCACCGAGTGTTATGGGGCACATTATCATTGTTTTTTTTTATACAGGAGTTTATTCAATATCAACAGAATAATTTTTGATAATATAATAACAGCTCAATTCTGGATTTTGTGGGTACTAGTGATTTTCCTGGTATTTTGAAAGCTGCCAGCATTTTGATTAATGAATTAACTGTCTTGTCCTAATTAATAATTAATGTTGAAAACGAGGCCAACTGCCCATGTCTTGTGCTCATGGCTATTATAGCATATATAGATAACATAACTGTGTCAAAATGAATCAAAAAATTAAAACATGCCAGTTTTTAATTCTGAAATTAATGCAGCAAAGTGTTTGTCCACTGTGCAATATTTTCCAACATAAATATAGCAGAATGATTATACATTATCATCAAGTGCTCACCACAGACCATTATGTTATTTCGCTTTTTAGGCCAGTGGATATGGGGTATACTTTTTTCAGTTTACTAATGGAGCAACATACATGACTAACACTATGCTTACCACAGATGAGAGCATTGTCTGATCTCCAGAAGCTCATTGAATGCTTCCATCTGCTCAGGATAACGAATAGGGAATGAGATATCTTTCGGAAGTTGCAGCGGTTGGTCATCTGCTGCTGACCTTAACAGCATTCGCTGGCACCATCCTCTTAATTTCACGATTCTTCTCTCGCATTGTCTCCAAAGACTCGGAGAATCTGTGTAACAGCAGCTGAAACAAGAGCTGTCCGTAAGACAGCGCGCTCGACTTTTTTAGTGCTTGCCTATAATACAAAACATTGACAGTTAAGGGCCATAATTCAAATAAAATCTTTGACAGAATTACCTTCTCCTGGACATGTTTGGGAATCATGATTGTAAAACAAGTATTCCAACTTTCAAATTAATATCTCAAACAGTTCAGTCAAAAAGTGGACTGGTACTAAAAACTTAACCAAGATTCTAAGTCGATAAAAGGCCTTAATTTTTAAAACAAATCCTTGACAGAGTTACCTTCTCTTGCGTACAGATGGGGGGTAATGATGTGAAATAGCATTAAAAGTTTCAAAAGCAATATCTCAAAGGGTTAAGGCAATAAGTGGATTTTACCCATATTCAATGTATTTTCTAAGTCAAAAAGGGGCATAATTCTGTCAAAAACCTTGACAGAGTTATGTCCTCTTGTCTGTTGATGAAGGTCGTGATGGTAAACAAGTATGGTCAGTTTCAAAGCAATACCTCCAATGGTTTTGAAATAAAGTGAGGTGGTACAAAAAACTTAACCAAGATTCTAAGTCGATAAAAGGCCTTAATTTTTAAAACAAATCCTTGACAGAGTTACCTTCTCTTGCGTACAGATGGGGGTAATGATGTGAAATAGCATTAAAAGTTTCAAAGCAATATCTCAAAGGGTTAAGGCAATAAGTGGATTTTACCCATATTCAATGTATTTTCTAAGTCAAAAAGGGGCATAATTCTGTCAAAAACCTTGACAGAGTTATGTCCTCTTGTCTGTTGATGAAGGTCGTGATGGTAAACAAGTATGGTCAGTTTCAAAGCAATACCTCCAATGGTTTTGAAATAAAGTGAGGTGGTACAAAAAACTTAACCAAGATTCTAAGTCGATAAAAAGGCCTTAATTTTTAAAAACAAATCCTTGACAGAGTTACCTTCTCTTGCGTACAGATGGGGGTAATGATGTGAAATAGCATTAAAAGTTTCAAAGCAATATCTCAAAGGGTTAAGGCAATAAGTGGATTTTACCCATATTCAATGTATTTTCTAAGTCAAAAAGGGGCATAATTCTGTCAAAAACCTTGACAGAGTTATGTCCTCTTGTCTGTTGATGAAGGTCGTGATGGTAAACAAGTATGGTCAGTTTCAAAGCAATACCTCCAATGGTTTTTGAAATAAAGTGAGGTGGTACAAAAAACTTAACCAAGCTCAATACACTTTCTAAGTCAAAAAAGGGCCATAATTCTGTCAAAAACCTTGACAGAGTTATGTACTCTTGTCTGTAGATGGAGGTTATGATGGTGAACAAGTATGGTAAGTTTCAAAGCCATACTTGTAATACTTCTGAAATAAAGTGGGGTGGTACGAAAAACTTAACCAAGGTGTGACGCCAACGCTAACGCTAACGCCGACGCCGACGCCGGGGCGAGTAGGATAGCTCCCCTTTTCATAGAAAAGTCGAGCTAAAAAAGGATTCATAATTCTAGGACATATACTTTTAGAGCTATGTGAATGACAAATGAGCCATGTTACGACAAAACCAACATAATGCATTTGCGATCAGCATGGATCCAGACCAGCCTGCGCATCCATGCAGTCTGATCAGGATCCATGCTGTTCGCTTAAAAACCCTATAACAAGTAGAGAAACTGATAGCGAACAGCATGGATCCTGATCAGACTGCGCAGATGCGCAGGCTGGTCTGGATCCATGCTGGTCGCAAACCCATTATGTTGGTTTTGTCATGACCCGGCTCAAATGACAAAAAATCCAGTATTTTAAATTTTTCCTTGGCTTAACAGTAATTAACGCTAAAATCTCAAAAGGATTGTTGAGTGTGCAAGGTCACAAAATGTGAAAATAAAAAATCAAAAAATTAAAATTTAAACATTTTTTTGGGGCTGGGGCATGTAATTGGTGAAAATAAACTTTCTTACTTTTCCGGGGACCGAAATTTTGGGATAACAGTAGTTCGGGCAAGAAATGCGCAAAAATTTCACACCAAAAAAGACTAACACAAGTATCAAAAATTTCTTTTGAAAAATTTTTAAAAAACCTGGGGCCCTCAAAAGTAACTTTCCCTTTTGGGGCCGTTAAACCTAAACCCCACTATTAAACATTTTTTGGACTTTTTTTGAGAATATAACATTAAAAGTTTTCTTAATAAAAAAAATTTTTTTATAGCCGAATTTTTATACTTACGGGCCCAAAACTCCCACGAAGGGGGGTTTTCAGAAGCCCCCTTTGTAGGGGGAAAAACATTTTTCACATAAACTCGGGCCTCCCCCCAATCCCTGTCAAAAAAGCGGGGCGGAAAAGGGAAAAGGCTTTTGACTTTTTGGGGCCTTGTTTTTGGGTCAAAAAATTTTGGTGGCCAACTTCTGTGCCCTTGTCTCTTTCTCTCAGTGCCCTATCCCTTCCCTTTACACCGTTGATCCTTTTTAACAATAAAAATAAAAAATACTTTAATAAAAAATTATTTAATTTTTAAAAACAAGACTTTAAAGGGATTAAAATTCCCAAGTGACAATAAAATAATGACTCAAACCCGGTGAAAACATTACTAGTCTATTTTATACCTTTTTGGGTTGTCCCCGAAATTTTTGTCTACAAATTTTTTAGCACAATGCGTTTTTTTCCCCGATAATTTTCATGAAACGGGAAGGCTAAAAGACTTGGCGGTCCCATTTGGAAGCTTAATACAAACGTGAAAGTGATAAAAGATTTTTTTAATTGTCTGGACAATTGTTTTCACAACGGCCCGGGAAGTGAATCCCTTGCTTGCAGTCTCGAATCTGGAGTTTCTGGCCTTCTCTTAACTTAAAGTATTTTTTAAAGGGGGGTATAATTTACAATTTTTTTCGGTTTTTGACTTTTTAAAGATGAACACAGGTTTAATTATCTATCGAGTCATATTTTTTCTTCCCAGGTCCGGTACTCGTGCATGTGCAACATAGGGCTTGGTTGGTACTTGGAAAAAATACTTGAATTTGTAATAATAAGTATTTGCATTTAATATTTTAAAATGCTTATGAATGAAATATTGTACAAAATGGAAGGGACTTCTAAGGCTAGGAGGGGTCACTGGATTTCAAATGATGGTGTCCCTTTAAAAAAAGGATCCCTTAAAATTTAGTCTAGATAGAAACAATATTATTAAAATGTTAGTGTCGACTCCGTCACAGTTAAGTTATTCAACAATAACAACTATACACATCCATAAGGTCAGCTAAAGTGCCTAATAGTGGGCGTAAATTCTAGAAAATGTCGCAAATTAAACTGACAAAAACTATCGCGAAATTACATGGCAAAGGCAAAAACAAAAAATAAATGACGTTTACACTTACCTACACACACAATAAATGTGTAAGGATATAATATGAAAGGTCGTTATACGAAATCGTCGTTAAATGTTCCGAATTGAAATGAAATATTGTTTTCGTGTACAATTTTACAATTTAACGTTTCAATACACAATTTGATTTTAAGCGGCAGCGGAAATCACGTCTGCGCATGCTCGAAATAAATTTTTCATCAAATGCTGATTTTTATAAATTATTTCTGAATTAAAATAGTCTAAAAACACATTTTAATATTTAGATTATAAAAATTAAAACCAATATAAAAACTAAACAAATTAATTTCTCGCACCTGCTCAGGCATGCTAATATTTATTGGGTTGCCCAAATGGGACCCATATGGGTCCCTCATGGCTTGTATATATGTTAATGCTACGATTTTTATAAAAGATAATACTAATTTATGCCAAGGTGGTCACACAATAGCTCAAAGTAAACAAGTTCTAAAGAAATAAATAAACGAAAAAATCGTTTTTCCTTATAGTGCTGTAATATGGGACCCATATGGGTCCAATATGGGCGTACCCAAATGGACTTGCCCATATTGGTCCCATATAGGTCCAATATGGGCATACCCATATGGGCTTGCCTAGATATAGCCCATATGGGTCCCATATATGCATGTTTGCTGGGCTATTAACATTAAAAATTAAAATTTGATAGTTTGTTCGAATGTGACACTGACTCAATGATTGAACGTTCAAAGTGCTTATTTCAGCTTGAAATGTTAATACATTTTTTTTCGTGGAAAATATTGTTCGATTAATTATTTATTTTTTCATCTTTTCAACAATATAATTTTTGTTCTGATTTGCTATTTACTACTTATAGTTGAAGCAAAATTATCATTTATTTTGACATGTAACTAGTGAAAGTCGATTGCGCCGCTGACATTACTTCAATGTCTTTATTTTTTTAAGTATTTGTGGTGAATCAAATCACATGGTGGAAACCCTCAAAATTTCGTTTTGAAGAGTTTAACCACTTCCACTATGATAAACTTAAAAATATGACCTGTGAATTTTCGTATAATTACTTGCTTATTATTTTATTTGCATCATAGGCCATTTGAATCTTTTTACCGAGAATGCACTGTAGGCATGTTTTTTCCATTCAAATAAGTTTTCGACTGGGTGATCTATGAGCTTTATCTGAAATGATCGCACGCGGTTTTATAGTAAAGGGCGTCTTGGTAGTCTTTTGGCGCTTGTAAGGTGCTTCAAATGACCAATGAAAATCCTACTTTTATTCAGTTCGTTCATCCCTGTGTATTTCACAGGAAGTCAAATTGAAAATCGACCGCTGGAAAGTAAGTTTCCATGAACGGACATCTTCTCTAATGTTGTCCTTACACCATATTCTTGTTATGACGTTGTTCGTTTGGCTGATTCAGAACAACTGATTCAGAAATCAAGTGGGATTTGAAGTCCGCCATTTTAATAAGGAAACACTGGAAATAACTTGTAAATTATCCAGGAAAGCTAGTTAGGTGGACCGACCGCTGAGATAGCACCAAATATGTATTGAACTTGGAGTTAAACCAAACAAAAATCAACTTTTATCATGCCTAAGCTTGCTGTTTAAACAGATGATTTATGGTGAAGATGATATCTTTCATTTACCACTAGCTCACATAAAGCCAGCTTTAAATGATCTCCACTGAGGTAAAAAAACATAAAAGCATAAAATTCTAACATACATCAAAAGAAGCACTTAAAATAGCTAAATCTGCAAAGGGTAAAAAGGGAAAAGTGCTCAGAAATCGATTTATTTCCTATTCTTAGACCGATTGAGTTAAAAACGTTGCAACGTTTTTGATTTTTGGTTTGCACAATAAAACTGATTTTTATGAAAAAAAGCGGGATGAAGAATTGATCTGAAAAAGCACACAAGTTATTTTTCCAGGGCTGCATCTCATAGAAAGGAGATCAGTCTTTAGATCAAAGACAATGTACTTCTGACTTTTATCTTATGACTCTTTTCATTTCTGAATAGCAATGCTGATTGGAATTTACACATTGCTAATTTCAACATCCTTGTATTATTTTTTCTCAGGAGAATGAATTTATTTATAGTCGGCAGATGAACACGTTAATCAAAATGGGTTTAAATAAGTAGTCAGTCCTAAAATTGGTTTTATGGAGTAGGACTTTTTATGAAAATGAGCCCAGGTCTACATAGAATGGTACACAAATCGTGGAAAAATATTTCCAGTCACCTCATATCAAAAAACCTCAGTGGAATCCCTAAAGCATTTTGATTTCTATAATAGAAGAGGAAAATATTAAAAGGCGGCGTAAATCTCTAACTGATGAATTCTATAACATTATTTAAAAAAATAAAGCATGATTTTCACCTACAGCTGGTCGGTTTTTTTGTTAGAAAGTATAAGTAAAACATTTATCTGTTATTCAGTGCTAATGGATTGTAATGCAACCCAATGTATATGAACACTTTTTGATGAAAGTTAAAACTCCAATGTTTATGATTGTTCTAGTGTTTTACAAAATTTTTCCTATATTAAACAAAATAATTTTTAATGACGATACTCGGCTGTGCTTAAGCTAGTTCAAACGATTGCATTACTTTTAACTGTGTTTTGCGTTAAATCATACGCTTGAACTTTCATAATGTTTATACTTTAAATTTTCTTTAAACAAATCACTCTTCTCTCTTCTTTCAATAATATGATTTATATTTTATGAATTTCTTAAATTACTTGTGGAAGAAGCACAGAAGCAAAAATGATCAAATCTGTGTCGCTTTAAAAGCCACACATTGTACTGTAGGCGTTTTTGAAATAAAATGTCATGAAAAGATAAAATTTTACCACAGACGCGTACATTTATATGGAACTAGATGATTTATACATGTCTTGTCCGACAAAAAAACCCCATTTAAGTAAAGTATTTGCAAAGTTTAACCTGCTGTGAATGTTTTATTTTGTAAATATTGACTTAAATTATAAACACACCCGTTAACTGGTTGAAAGTAGACCATTTGGTTGCGGGTAGAACAATTGTTCCCTTGGTAAGTATTTTTTCACTCTCATTTATTTTTAACTTTACATGAATATGCTTCCTCTGGCCTCTTCTGGCTCATGTACATTTTTATTAATTTAATTTTTTGCCCCAGGAAAGAATTTCGTGACCGTAAACTTGTCATCACATAGGTATGTTTGCACACCCATGCAGTTTGATAAGAATCTATGCTGTTGGTCGCTCTATATTTGTATGTTTGATATCGCAAATTTTAAGTCTTGGAATGAACTGTTCCATATTCAAATACTTGGTTTTATTTTTAAGTAACTTTGTAGATTTGTCCAGTATGTTGTAAAGATTTTGTTGTAAAGTTATGTATAGTCTCTTATAACTCATTTATGAGTGGCATTTATGTACAATGTCGTAGGTTTTATATTTGTATTGTTTTAATATTGTACATGATGATGATACTTTAATAAACTATCTTATCTTATTCAAAGCTCGAAAATTGATTTAAACAAATGCAACAAGTTTTGTTTGTTTGTTGTTTGTCATTTTTACGGCGCACCAACTTAGTTTAGGTCAAAACAGGCGCCGAAACAGGAAAGATTATTTTGGCTAACCTCGAGTGTTACAAATTTTAAGCAACACCAGCCGTCAAAACCACCTCACCTGCTGGAGCTAAGTGATGGATAAATTCAGTAAATATTAAATAGACTTTAAGAATTTTAGCACATTTTAGAACTTACCTGCATTAACTCCGCCCCCGAGCAGCAGGAAACCAATCAGAAACAAACACCTCATATTGGCCTGAAATAATTAGAACGAAATTTGAAACTTTTAATTTGGGAATGTATACAATTAAAATAGATATGCATACAAATGTGCCGAAATAAGTGATAAATAAAATTCAGAAGTAATATTCAAATATGTTAAAGGGACTCCACTGAGGTTTTTTGACATGATGGAACTAAAAATATTTTTTTCCAGATAAATGTACCATTTGATGTAGGTTTAGACCATTTATCTTTGTGCAAAATTTCAGAGCACTTCGTTTTTCCAGAATAATTATTCAATATGAAAAGCGTTTAAACGCTTTTCACCCAAATCGGGCTAACACAAGCATAAAAATACGATTTTCAAAGTATATTTCTTAACTATCTTCGCATATACATTTGTATTTCTGTTTAAAGTGCCCCAGCTCATTTATGTAAGAAATTCAAATGTTATGTGCTTGGCTTTTCAACCTCAGTGGAGTCCCTTTAAGAATATTTAAAAACAAACTGAACAAGAAACAATAACCCTTATTTTATTTTTATTTTTTGCTTTCCATTTTTAAGTCTGTGCAATACATAGATTATATAATTATAATCTAATTAAAATGTCATGATAATTATAAAATGAGCACTTATGTGACAAACTATAAACTATTTTGGAAGCAAAATCATACTGAATAAAAAAATATATAAGCATATTCGCAACTGCAGACTCGAATGTGAAACACCCAATATAACCATTACTCAACTCGGATTCATTTCCGCTTTTTCATAACGGTATAACATAGCGGCCCTCCAAATATTATTTATTTCTAAAGAGTTCCACTACATTTTACCTCTGTTGAGCAACCACTCTAGGCAACAAAATGCATTTCTCTGTAAAGGTTATACTGTATATTTTAATTAAATACAAAATATGATTATTAAATAACTTGTGCAACATTTGTTACCACTGCATACGAATAATGTATTATGTTGACGTTATCTTGTTCATTTTTTAATACAATACAGTTTGCTTTAAAACAAAAATAAAATAAAAAATAAAAAAAAAAAACACAAACTCAAAACACACACCAAAACACGTGTTTATGATGTTAGCAATAAAATGGACTTCTCCCTTATTAAGGGTGATCATAATCAGGTTTTTAACTTTGAATATTCTTCTGTTGCCACGTTGTAATCGGTAAAGTGGTCTTACACTGAATTCGGAAGGCATGGATTCGAGACACGAAGGGTATTGTACTAATAGATTATCCTTTAGAATTGTTTACTGTGTATGAAATGTTTTAAGGTCCACCTCGGACTCCTGTCATTCATTTCCAAAGAGAAGTTGATACTGTGAGAAACACTGGTTTCGTTAAATTCCCTCCGCTATAATAAAAGCGGCGTTAAACCCAATATTAAAAATAATAAGAAGATATAAAACATAAAATGCATGGTTCATTATTTTCATAGGCTCTACATAGCACTGCATTATGTGCAGACAAAAAACGAGCTTCTCCCACAACCATAATCACACAAATTGAGAATCCTACATAATCCCCTTCAATACAAGGGAATCTGTATTTGATATGCAAAATTCTCCGCTTCTGAACATACAAAATAAATCAACGGATCTTTCGCCTCTAATCGAGAAATGATCGCGGCTTCAGGTCGCCTCAAAGATGCGCTAGTAAACGTATACCGCGAGTCAGCTAGTTTAAAATAAATAAGAATATCTGTAATTATGTCAAATACGTGAGAAATTAAAGCAATAGCATGAGAGCGTGATTCCTGCTTTAAATCTGAGTCTCACGCTTAGTGCAGGGTATTTAGCTGCGAGAGAAAATAGAATAACTGATGGCTGTTAATAAATAAATTTTTATACGTGTAGAAAATTTTGAATTAAATGTCTGCTACATTTTATAATATAATTAAGACTACAAGTGAATAATGACTTACGTACAAATCGTTGTTACTTCCAGTTGATCATACATTTTTGAAACGTAAATTTGATTCAATTCCTACCAGAGACATAGATGCTATCTATGTATCTGTTCCTACTAACTGATATATAATATTCAAAATTGTTACATATGATAACATGGAAGTTTATGTTGTACCGAAATACACATAACATGATGACACCGCGACTGCACCAGCCTTTTCATTCTTTTTTTCTGACATTCTTTGCAAAATTTATGTTTTTTATAATTTCCACTTAGGTGGCCTTTTAATTATATCTTTCAATATTCTGAATTGTCTTTCAGTCCTCGAGGTATTTATATCAATTCGTTTCAGTTTTTCAGAGATTGATACCAACTTTTGCAGACAGTTATACCCTGATGTGTTGTACATGTATATAATTGAAGATATTCATCGAAATACAGGCATCTGACAGGACTTTAAAAAACATTTTTACGGAACATGTCTAAATACTATTGTTGTTGATGGTTTTCACACAATTTATTCCTGTCAGTATGATATTTATCGAAAAAGTCGTGAAAATTTCCTTGAGAAAAATATTTGACGTCACCAAAATCATAACATTTTACTCACCCTTTATTTTATATTCAAATAGTAATAACAAAATATCTTACGCGTTGACCCTATATTTTTATTGCATAAATATTTTCTTTTATGACTTCACTACATGTTAAAAAAATTATAGCAAAATTCACCGTGTTGATTTTTTATTATTTTACAATATTTATTGCGATATCGCGCGATATTTGCATCAAATATGGACGTTAGAACGTAGAGAAAAATGACGTAAAATCGCAGACTATTAAGTAAATGTTAAAGAAAGACATGATAACAAAGACATACATTTACTGAACATTATAAAATTAAAATGAAGGAAATCGGATGAAAATTGATAAAAACAGACCGGTTTATTGATAAAAAAGACGCAATTTCGCCGCCACCGATAGAGGGCGCCTTGACGTCATAGTAACGCTGTTTATTTATAAAATAATACTGCAGAAGTAAAGCTTACATATCTACATGTCTGTATACCAAAAATCATCAAGATCTAAGATATTGTCATATTTCGGTCGGAAAGTAGCGAGCTACCTTAAATTACATTGAGCGTTTTGACGCGATAGATATGTTTTGCTTGGCTTTTGCTTAAGATTCAATGGTGAATACACATTGAGCGTTTTGACGCGATAGATATGTTTTGCTTGGCTATTGCTTAAGACACACATTAGAGGTCTAGAACACTAATGAAAAACAATATTTCAATTGATTATTTAAATAAAATAACTTATATACATATACATATATATCCTGTCGAAAACTACATATTTTCATTTCACATATATTTCTATATTCTAAAGTACTAGTAATAAATCGCCTGTGATTGCATTAATTTAAATAAAGAATACTTAAGTCAGCAGTTTCATTCTACCTTATCATTTATTTTAATAATAATAATAATAATAATAATAATAATAATAATAATAATAATAATAATAATAATAATAATAATAATAATAATAATAATAATAATAATAATAATAATAATTAACATAAAAACTACAAAATCTTTCTTTTAAAATGTTCAATTTATATATTTTCACCTTTAAAGCAGTCGCCTCCAGATTCATGGTAATTGTCATGAACATTTTTAAAATTTATTTTAAAAATAAAATATTGTCAAGTGAACAAAGTGAAAGTAAAACGTGCAAAATGTACTTTAAATTCACGTTAGTAACCAAAAAATAGTCAAAATATGCAAAAATAGCCCTTACTGCGTTAGTAACGCAGTAGAGATATGGCGTTGAACACTTCAAAATCAATTATTAATCGTACATAACATGTAAACTATAACTTGAACCTGGAAGAATTTAATGTTTTACAAAAATTTGTATCATATATTATTTGTTATAACGAAAAACTTGTAAAAGTTTAAGTTAATAAAGTATCTATCTATCTATCTTTCAAAACTTAGTAATGTTTCAAGTTTGATTTTCTTGAAATATTTTAGCATATCTAGAGGCATGCAGCTTCAATTAAACACATACAGTTATTTTTATAGGTAGTGTACTTTTATTACCAATATTAATCAGTGTTTTTATACAAATATTTATCGTCAATTTCAAAATATCCAACATTTTATGTTATTTCATATTAATTATCCTTTTGTGTACAATTTGAGATCGAAGAGATATATATCTAAAAATGTTAAAAAGACTCTTAAAAATATATATCTTAAATGTTAAAATGACTTTTACTGAAAACATGTCTTACCTGGTGTATGTCTGAATGCTAGTTTATGTTTAAAGCAATAATTCTGAAGTTTTGTCTGGTTATTTCAAATATTGGATCGGATCCCAGTGAACTTAAAAAAATGGTTTAAAATTAATGCGATAAAACGATTAGGACAAAATAATTTGAAAAATAAACATTTATCATTAGATCATCCTATTCTAAAGCTCATTTTGGCCTCATTTGTATTTATAAACGATAAGCATTTAACAATATTGATAATTTATATATTTTACTTTACCTGAAAGTTATTCCAGTTATTCGTGAAGCCATTTGACCTCACCGACTTATAAGTGGAATAAAGTTGAACTTGCGAACAACACATGTACTGGGCTAAGCCAAGCTTTTCGCCGTCCGGGTAATGTTCCAGACCGTCTTTTATCATGTTTATCTTACATTGCGCATGGGCATGTATTTTAAAAGTAACGTTTAACCTCCCATAATGCCCTAATGTTAACAGCATCGTTCTTCGACAAACTGGTAGAATAATTAAGACTTTTGAACAGGGATATGAAAGCTTGTTTGAATTATTTGATATTGTTGATCATTGATTGATTACTAATGTTGTTAAAAATGCTATTTTTATGCTAAAATTACTTGAATAACGATCTTATTTTGATATTATATTATCAATTGATTCATGCAGCTTCAAACAATGACAGTAGACCATAGTAATTATAGGGCCGGATCATTTCTTTGCTATAAAAATCAAAATAAGATTGACGCAACCCATGATTACCTCATAATTTTTTTGTACCTCTTGGTTCGCGCCGTGACAGTGTTTAAGACCAAGAATCAATCAAAGTTTGCTTTTCTGCCACTGGTCCTTATTAGGGTGGGACTTTGTCTATTATGGTGTTCTTTTGTGGAATAAAGGTCCAGTTCCAAAATAGATAAGATATATCGCATCCAACAACCACCTTTAAAATTGCCATCGGAGTCAACTTTATGTCTAGTTCAGCTTTAGTTTAATTATCTAGATTTTTATATAAGTTTTTTTTTTAATTTAGTGCTTTGCTTAGTTAAATTTTGTATAATATAATGATCAAGTATGACACTCAAGATTATATTTTGATCTCGGTGTGGTATTATATAAGTATTATTAATACTATAATGACTTTTCTGTGATACATGATAGTGAATTTGTCTGATTTTATTAAGATATATTTATTTCTCCTAGATTCAGAAAAATGGTAATGCACTATTTTTACAAGATGTATCGAAAAATAGACGTAAGTTGCGTAATGAGCTAAATTCTAAGTTACCTTTTGTTTGGTCAATTCTCACATCAAGATATCTTTAAGTTGTTCGATTCCATGATAGTTCCGATATTGACATACGGAGCAGAAATTTGGGGTCATTCGTATTCATCCGAAATAGAAAAAGTGCAAATTGAATTCTGTAGATACTTTTTAGGTGTAAACGATTCCGTAAATAATAGTATGGCATTAGGTGAATGTGGTCGTCTTCCGTTATGCTCAATTTACTACATTAAATGCATCAAATATTAATGTAAACTTTTACAGATGCCAGTGACGCGTTATCCAAGAAACTGTTACAATATGTTAAAGTTGCAAGATAATATAGGGAGAAAAACTGGGTTACACATGTACGCGAACTTTTATACAAATACGGATATGGTTATGTTTGGATAAGCCAAGATATGGGAGAATTTAATATCTTTATATTTTCTTTTAAACAACGTACTGCTGACTGTTTGGAACAAAATTGGTCTGACGACATCCATTCCTCTACTAGATGTGATACATATACTACATTTTAAATCTTTATTAAATGTTAAACAATATTTAACTGTGGAACTGCCATTTCTTTTTAGGAAATCACTTGCGCGTTTCAGATGTTCAAATCATAGGTTAAACATAGAAATTGGGCGCCATTATGGTATTGAGAGATCAGATAGAATATGTCCATACTGTTTTATTAATAGTAACCGTTTAGTTATTGAAAATGAATATCATGCCTTTTTTATTTGCCCCAAGTTTGATAGTATAAGACAACAATATCTGACATTTAATTGGTATAAGGGAAGACTAGAACCAGTTAATTTCTCATACTTAATGAAAACCGAACATCATCCTACATTAAAAAGTTAAGCATTGTATGTTACCAAACTTATGACTAATATTGATAAGAATTGATTGGTTTCAATTATTTTTTTCTAGACAATTACATGAATGTCTATTGTATAGTGCTTCATAACAAAAGTCTGATTTTCTCTTCTTTTTTGCATTAATAGGACTAGTTTTTGTATAATTTTTTTTCTTTCATTTTCGGAACTTGATACCACATGTTTTACATAAAGGGTTGTGGTAATATGTATATTCTCTACCTTGTTGTACAATGTTAAAAATTATGGAATATGCTACTATTTTGTATTTCATAACTTGTGACACAATCAGAAGTACATGTATCTCTCTGTTATTATATAGTGTATTGTATTTGGGCCGATGGCTTAGAATTACATTACAATAAACTTGAACTTGAACTGTTGTCATTTACTGTTTGTTATGATTAAGCAGCATAAAATCATTTAGAAAAATTGCAAAACATCACATAAGAAATGAATATAGTATATACGAGCGTACATTACCTAATTACCTTACTTTGTGCCGTTAGGATATATTATTTTCATTAGAATACCTTTCTGTCTTGGTATAATAATAATAATAATAATAATAATAATAATAATAATAATAAAATCATAATAATAATAAATCATTGTCCTATTTATATGTAAAGCTCATCATTTGACTTTTATTTTCTTTTCTTTTTAAAACATATAATAGAATGATGAATATTGTCTTTCATTACAACTCTTGTTTCTTTCTTTACACGTATCTGTAGTCAATGGGGCGTCAGTGGCCGAGTGATTGATATATCTGACTTCACTCTCGGCGCTGTAAGTGCGAATCCCGCCAGTGTTTAAGGATTCTTTAATGTGAGGAGGCTATCTAGCCAGTCTACGTGACTTCGGTGGTTCTACTTAGATGTCTGTTTGTGCCTGAAATAATGCATGGGGGAACCCTAAGGTCTTCCTCCATCATTAAAGTTGGAAAGTCGCCATATGACCTATACTGTGTAAGTGCGACGTAAAAAGCTATCAAAAAGGAAAAAAAAATGTTGGCAAAATGCAGGTTCACACAAGGTTCGAGGAAAGAATGTAGGTTAGTAGACCTTACATTTATGATTACAGAGTGTTTAACCTCAATTTTTATAAGAAAAGATCTTCTTTCTTTGTTATTATCGGCATTAGGCGACGTTCCAATTCTTTCATTGGCTTGCGTAATTCATATAAGTTGCTAAAGAGACGGCGGGGTGATTTTTTGCACCAATTTTCAGACTAAGATAATTATGTTCCAGGAACATTTTGTCCGGGACAAACGATTTATAAATGATTCCAATCTGTTCCCTACGTGATTTATCCAATATTTTACCAGAAAGAAAACTGGTTAAAATTACTAGAAAGTAGAAGTTACATAAATTATCATGAAATTATGTTTGTTAATTTCTAAAATGCTTAATGGAATCTATTAAATTATTAAATTATTTTTTATTTTGTACATTGGGTTAATAACAAACAAACAAAAACAAACAGATAACAATCAGGAGAGAATAGTTTGCAAAATATAATAAAAAAATAAAATAAATGAATAATAATAATAAAATGAAGCCATGTGTACTTTTATTTCAACATAAATCAGTAATCCTTTAAATAATTTTATATATTTTTTAAATATTTAATATAGACTTGACAACAATTGTATTAAGATTTTAATGCATTTGAATTCAGACAAAAGTTTTTCTTTGTGCTTAGACACCTGTTTTGTAAGATTAATTCTCAATGAAAATAGTTTTGGATGACCGTAATTTAAAATGAAAACATGACCGGCCCCTTTTCTTATTAATACCTAGATTAAACGTTGAATACTTGGTTAATATTCATGAATTTTGGCAGAATTTGAAAATTTGCCCTTTAATATTTGTAAACCTCTTGCAATTCAAACATATATGTGCGACTTGTCTAACAATACTAATTTCGTTGAAGACATTTGGAATAAGAGAAAGGTATGTTTTTAAAGTTGTTTATTTTCAAATTTGGTAAAGTTACAAATACTCGCAGCTTTTTAATAGTTTATTTTACAATATAAAATAAATTCAGTACCTCTACATATTTCAATAAAAATTCTTTAATTTATTCTTTCTCGCTAGTGCCTTATTGTCAATAATCAATAGTAGTGTTGCCTATCAAATTTATATATTACTATAATCCGAAAGTAAAATTGTCATTTTACCATATTAGCTACAGTAGACAATAAAGGTTATTTAGAACAGCTTACAATAATAAAAAAAGAAAAGAAAAGAAAAAAAAGAGAAAAAAGTATAATAATAATAATAATAATAATAATAATAATAATAATAATAATAATAACTTTTTTATTTAGTTTAAAAAGATGAAACTAATATAACAAGTTTACAAATTTATCGGCGTGTAATATGCCTTTGACCATTTACAGTTATTATTAATAAGATGGTCAAGACAATCTAGATATATACAGAGACAAAAAAAAATATGAAGGAAAATTAGTTTGCAATCACTTAATCTGTTAAGTCTTAAAAGGTGAGATTCCCCTGAAGTACCGAAACCATAAAAATACATGCAAATAGCCAACTAGGTTTGGTTGAGTTTGTTCATAAAAGATAGGTACAACTTCTCTCACGCTCTCTAGCACCGTATCTAACGCTCCCAAGCACCGTCATCTGACGCTCCCTAGCACCGTCATCAAACGCTCCCTTGCATTGTCATCTCACGCTCCCTGACACCGTCATCTCACAGTTCATGACACCGTCATCTAACGCACCCTGGCACCGTCAGAATACAATCTTTCTCACTTTATAGCTGAACAGCGACTACTCAATAATTCCTATAATAAATATTCTTATTTGTTTACAGGCACAAGTACACTGTCAAGATGAATCACTTACTCCTTGCCGCAGCGTGTATGTTGGCGTTTGGGCAAGGTAAGAAAAAACAGAACCCTAGCTCGTGCGCATCCACAATTTAAATGTAAAATATATGGAAAAAGAAATAGGCGCATAATAGTTTGAATGGAAATCGGTCCAATTCAAATTATTATAACGCAACTCTTCCATGTATCCATGTAAAAATAAGTGTTTTTATTTTAATTTTGATATTTAATGAAATCGGGTATTTTTGATTATTAATAAGTTTAATTAATAAGATTACGAGAGGTGTTCAAATATGAATGCAACTGGGCCAATTTCCAAAAGGGCTTTACAGACAGTGTCAAAAATAATTATCTCAATTCTTCAAAATACTCACCACCATGTGATATACAAAGTGTTAGTCTATAATCAAATTTTTAAATGCGTTTTCATAATCTTTTCGAGGTATACTGTTCAGACACTGGAAAATAGCCGAACCGAGATTTTTTCGCGTTTGATATTTTTTCCAGCAAAGCGTTATTTAACCTTGAAAATAAGAAAAAAAGTCACAAGGGGAAAGATCTGGCGAATATGGAGGGTGAATAAGACCGACAACCTTCTCCTGTTTCAGATATTCTCGTACATTGGCCGCTTTGTGTGACAAAGCATTGTCATGCACCAACCTGACACCACGGACACCAGTTGCTGGTCGACGGTTTTTGAAATATTTCTTTAATTTGTGAAAAACCTTGCCTTTGTAAAACTTTTTACATTTACAGATTTACCCTTGGTACGGAAATTTGAATAGCAGTTTTTTGATTGGTAATGAAAATTACATACCTGATCTTTTTGACGCTCATGGTGCTATTTGCTATGCAAGGTCTTGCACTTTCTTTGGTTGCCCATATTTTGTTATGTATCTTTTGCTAGGGCTCATAAAAGTGAACCCACGTCTCATCGCCAGTGATGATAATTGTTGTATTTATGGAACTGTTTCAACAAGTGTTTGGAGATTCTTACCCGAGCAAGTGTTTGCTCTAGTTGTAAATCTTGCATCAGTAGCAATCAAATCATTTACTTTTTCAACCATTTTTAGCGAAGTTGCAGTTTTCGGACGTTGTCCACGAGGTGCATCTTTTACTGAATCCACACCACTTATATAAATTTCTTACACCACCGTGTAAAATGAAAAAGAAAGTTCATTGATCCCATAAACACGACAAATTTCATTAAATATGTCTTTCGCCTGTATACCAAGAATACAGCGGTTCTTGATTTATATAGGACCATATTTGGTCAGTGAAAGCAGACCTTTTCCCAACCATCTTAGCTTAGGGATACCCGAGTAAATAGCGTTAACCGGGCTATTGTCAAAGCTAGACTGAACTGATTTACACGTGTATTGTATCAATTGAGAGCTTACACAACCATCTATGCGATACATGTACATAAATCGTGCAAAACGGTGTTAAAAGCGAGATATTGGCTTAGTTGCATTCATATTTGAATACCCCTCATAGTGCCGATATTTCACTCTATAATTGTACTATCGAGTGTAGCAGCAACTCCTTAGCAACAGTATTTTTTTATATCAAATTAAGCCTGAAATCGTGGTGTATTAGCTGTACAAATCTCTTAAATTACGCTACAACACACGTTATATAAAATAAAATAGCACTATAACACACGTTACGTAAAATAAAACACATGTGTTCTAAATATAAGGACAAAGGTTACGCAAAAATATAATTACATAAATTGATATTATCTGGTCGAGATGAAAATCACCTGTTGATCGGCTGTAAATTAATCTTTATCAGTTATCACATAGACTAGCTGTTAGCAATCCCCAGTATAGAACTCTAAATACTCAAATTTTGTCATCATACTATAACTGTTTTCTTTGAAATTTTAGAGAACTTCGGGTTTGAAATTATTTTTTTTGTCCATTAGGATTGCAGTATTTCAAATGAATCGTAAGTCTTTTACTTTAGTAAATCGTCACTCTATGAATCAGTCTAGTAAATCGACTGTAAATAAAAATAATTTAAAACACTTAGCTGTTTAAAATTTATTAGAACGTATTTACCAAATTAAATTGGTCGTGCGGCTGTGCCGCGCCTGACCAATTTAATTTTGTAAATACGTACAAATAAACTTTCACATTTACTTAATTGAAATATTTTAAAGTGACATACATTTTGCTTTAATTTATTCAATTATATAATTTACTGCACATCAACGGTAAATTATTCCCATGGTTCATGGAAGTTTCTGTAAAAAATCCATCAAAATATACCGGTAACGGTCAACTTATAAAAAGAGTGGGCAGTCTTTTTATATTTAAGGCAGTTTTATATTTTATCCTCAACATTTTCAAGCATATTTAGTTAACCTATTACCATTTTAACAGTCAAGCCTGTTTTTGGTATATATAGTAAATTCAGTTCAACTTGAAAATGAAAAAAAAAATATGAGAAACAATATCAATTTAAGCTTGCAGCATTTTAGCTTCAACCTGAAAATAATTTCTGTTTAAATAAAATAGGCAACAAACTTTGAAACTTTGCGAGCCTTGTTGAATTTTGTAAATAGTACGTCTGGCGCCGGTGAGCAGTCGTATGCAAAAGAAAACTGTCCGTGAGCCATTTAGTTAAATTGCGGAAAACAAATATTTTATGCTTTATTGAAACTTAGGAAATTACAAAACTTTTTATTTATATGCTTCTAGAATTAACTTCTTCCAAAGATATGCAAATGGAAACAAAGAGTTTTAAGTGTATAAAGGTATCTGCTGTTAACATTAATCTTTGAATTTTGAAAAAGAATAATTCCAAAGTGCCCATATGAAAGAAATATGACGGAATATAATTCTTTCCTTTTTGGCAAAGGACACATGTAGTAAATTTGCTGAACAGTTAAAAACTTATTTGAATTAGCAACATACTTATTTCCTGGAACATTTTATTCTGATTTATGTACAGCTTTCATGGGTGTTACATGACAGAAACATACTGAAATATAGTTCTTTCCAGAATTGATCATTATGAAATGGAAACAAGATAATTTTACCATTTATAGAATTTATAAACATATTTCATCAGATAGCTTAAATTACTTTATAATATCAATTACATTTTATTATGTCACATTATTTTTATTTATTAGAATATACATCAATTCTTTAAATTACCGCTAGACAATTCTTGTATCGTTTTTCATTGTATGGGGAATGTTTCTGGGGTCAAATGGCAATGACTATAAAACATATATTCTGACATTTTCATCTTTATTATAGTTATTGCAGCTCATGAAGAATTAAAAGTATGGTTGTATACAACATGTGCATAAATCAAGTTTTTGAATCTCCTTATTTACGATAGACATTTTGCAGACAAACCCCCGAGAAGGCCCTTAATGACGATGTTATGAGGTTTGACCTATGTCTGTTAACTGATTATTTCATCTCTGAAATGCGATGCAATTTAACTATTTATTATGATTATCAATTATGATTTATGTATTTTTTTTACAGTAGCTTACGGCCAGGCTGTCAATGGAAACTGGGGTGATTGGCAAACTTGGTCGTCATGTTCAGTGACATGCCTTCAAGGCACTAGGTCACGGTCTCGAAACTGCGATAATCCAGCTGCGTCCGGTGGTGGTGCAGCCTGCAGTGGGGATGATACCGAGACAGCAAACTGTCTAATAATGAACTACTGCATTCCTTCTTACCTCGGCAACACCGATCTTGTAAGTTACAGGCCATTTTTAAGATGGGTGTTTTCTATTTTTATTTTTTTATTTTTAACATTTAAGAAATTTCATTATTTGAAAAATGTACATGATCCATTACACTCGCCATAGTTATAAGAAATGCATATTTATCTTATTTGAATTTTTAAAAATGAAATACAAGAGTACTCTTTACGTTCTTCAACAGAAATTTCATAATGTATCATTCTTTTTCTAAAAAATATTATTATATTTATTTACTGCAGAACTGTAGCTCGTCTTCGACATTCGGATGTGCTACTGGTGTGGTTTCTTGTATCGATATTACCAAGCAGTGTGACGGTAATTACGACTGTGAAGACGGAAGTGACGAAAATCCTTATTTTACCAACTGTACCACTAAACTTTGTCTAGGCAGCGGCGTGAACGGTAGGTCTCTACTTCTTTTTAAATAACGTGTACGTTTTTAACTTTTCAAGAACCTTCGACATTAATCATAGATTGGATGAAGCTGGAAACTTTCCAGTTTTGCTAAAACGTTCAAACTTTACCGGTTGAGGAAGAATCCATGTGCAAGTTTAGTCAGTGTATAACTGCAATAATTTGGACATTGTAGAGCCAATGACCTAAACATAGCTTCATAGACAAGACTTTTAATTCTACATCCGTTTATACTCGACCACTTTGGTATCATCTTATCAATTAATTGTTAAAAATAACTTTTCTTTAAAAGGCATAATAGAAATATATACTAGTATTTCATCCAAAACAACGAATATCGTACCATAGACGAGTTTTAATTCTTATATTTGTTGACTGAACTGAACTGAACATTGATATAATATTTAACCCCAAATAAAAAACTTATTAAAAACGGATGATTAATAGGGTATTTCAGGAAGGTTTAATGAGCTTTGTTGTTAAACCGCTTTCGGGTTTAAGTCCATTCATTAACAAAATCATGACTATATGACTATTTCTAATTATTTTCTGTCAGCCACAGTATCATCTAATGACTCTGAGCTAAGTACTGATACTGATACATCCCCAGATTTTTGTTTAGATAGATACTAACGTTGGTTTGTGTTTTAACATACCGTCAAAAAAAGACATTCCGAATGTTCTGAAATAGAATGCAGAATATCTATTATCTTGTAGTGATTTTAAAGTTGATATTTTATCTACTGGGAAATATCTAGGTCATTGACATTGTGCGATAAAAGCCTTTATCTCAGCTAATTTACCTTTTTTATTTCATTTTTTTTATTTCCATTTTTTTGTATCGATTTTATTCCCTCTTGCGGAAATAAACCTAATAAAAACAACTAATATGGTAAGATGACGATATTTAATTCAAGACCACTTTTCCTTAAAAAACTAGTAAGTCTGCAATTGTTGTCTTTGTTGGTGTTGTTTATTGTAAGAATCGTTAATGAATTTTAAAGACAATGTATCTTTATAGTATGAAAGATGGATACTGTTCATATTGTTAACTAAACCAAAGATGTAGTAGGTCCATTTGTGCTCAAATGATTTAATGTGGCTATTTAAAGGGGTATGCGAAGTAAAAATGGAAAGAATGATATGAGCCGCGTCACGAAAAAAACCCAACATAATGCGTTTGCGACCAGGATAGATTCAGACCAGCCTACAGATCTGCGAAGTCTGATCAGGATCCATGATGTTCGCTTACAAACACTATTACAAGTAGAGAAACTGATAACGAACAGCATGGATCCTGATCAGACTGCACGGATACGCAGGCTGGTCTGGATCCATGCTTGTCGAAGACGCATTATGTTGGTTTTGTCATGGCCCGGCGCATATGTGTACTCTATTAACTTCAATATATGATTTCGTGTAAAAAGATAAACTAATACAGTTATTCTTGCATTTAAAATTGCGAGCACTAGTACACATTAAAGGCGACACATTAACAGATTCTCATAACCTCAAGCCGTTGTGCACGTTATTTAACATGCGTGACTCAGGGCCCAATGTAAAAACAGTTGAATGCAATGACAGCCCCGACATTTATTTTTATCAAAACATAGCCGTCAAATGACATTGCATTAGCACATGGAAAGTATGACAAAAATGGATTCTCTATAATCATATTTCATGTCACATTTTAGACATATTTTTTATAGAGATTCGCGATTAATTATGTTTCTTTTACATATTTTAATGATGCAGCAATATAATTATATATTCAAGTTATTGAAAAACATGTGCAAAGTTTAAGGAAACTCTCTGCTCATTCTTTGCTTATGTAAAACATTATAATTATCACTCCCAGAAACGTCTTTTATTTACACTTCGAATGACATGGTATTCAAATATAGACTGTATATATTTAACTGTTAATATTTTGTTGTCATAGTAACTTATTAAAACATGTCTTGTCTCCTCTATTTCAGACATTCAGTCTACACTGATGACAGGGATGGTAATGCTCGTTATCTTGTTTGTAACAAGCCACTTTGTGTAGACAAACAATTTGTTCATGCCACTTTGAAATGGCAAAGGATCATTAACACTGTCTTTACACTAATAAATTTTTACTTTGTTTAGTTAATAAATACATGTATAAAATATGAACTTGTATACAAAGAAAACAACTGCAAATGATATATCAATATAAGAATTCATTTTGCTGAAATAAGAAGTTTTATATGTACATATGTGAAAAAAAACAAAAAAACAACAACAACAAGACGAGTTGAGTAATACTATCAGAATAATAAATGTATTTCTGTCTGGAAAGCATTATTGTTGCACTTTGTGTTACTTTAACCTGTTCTATTACCAATGCATAGTTTTGCATTTTTGTAATTTGCAAAAAAAAACAACATTTTTTTCCAGAGATAAACTGTTAAATGACAATTAAAATGTTGACGTCAAAACTATGTTTGCTTAACTATTAAGGATATAAAAACCTCTCAAATTTTCATACTTAAGAACTAATGAATTGATAGCAATTTTGCGTATATTCAATATGTGAATTAAAGTACAAACATCTAAGCGTTATTTTGTTATATCAAATCAATCATAATGCATTTCTTGAGAAAACGAGAACTGAGATCATACGTCCATGATATCGATGTGACTTGTTATAATAACAATACCTTTCTGTGCGTGACTTTTCCAGAGATTATTAGAGTATATTTCCCGTACCTGCAATGGCTTAACAACTATTAAACAATGTTACTTCTAACATGCTTTAATTAAGAGCAAAAGTTTCCGTATTTTGTCTTCTTTATTGTGATTTTACCGCGTTCTTCTTTGAGTTCACATTGCGCAGAACGTGGCTCATAATCCTCTTTAGATAAAATAAAGATTATGATGACAAGATAACAATGACAATGACTGATGTTAATATTGCGTACAAATTTTAACCAAATCTTTGCACGTTTGTGTTATAACAAAAATGCTGTATTTTGTTGCTTCGGTGCTAAATAATCAATACAAAAGGAGCCATGTCACGACAAAACCAACATGGATCCAGACCAGCCTGCAGTCTGATCAGGCTATCAGTTTTACTACTTGTTATAGGGTTAGTAAGCAAAAAACATGGATCCTAGTGTAATAATACTTTGACGTCACGTCATTTGCACTTTAAGTATAGCGTTAAAGCGCGCTAATGTTAGCGTTACACTATAGGCGCATCAAAGAAAAATGACACTTGATAGCAGTTTACCGTTCTTATTTTATATATTTGATAAATAGAATATTATATTCGTGTAGATTCAATCTCTTACGCATCTTTTAACACATACATGAACATTTGGCCTGCAATTACTGTTGAAAAAGACTTTTTCCTCAAAAGTATACTTCAACAATAATACAATATGTACAACCCACTCAATCAAGTCAAGATTCATTAATCTAGAACATAACCATCTGGCTTTGATATTAAATTTAAATTAATTTGATTTTTTTCCATACTACTTGGTGAAAAGCAATGTCAATCCGTTATTTTAATAAAGTATATAATACAGTATCTATATCTAAAACGTTATACTTGATTCACAATTAATAATGGGGTTACTGAATGCAAAGTTGTTTGTGTCGAGTTTTTTCTTTTCTTTCGTAAAGATTAATATACATGGTAACAAGAAACTTTCAGTAAAGTACTTTAGATGCTCGTATTACTTTTGGAATATTTTATTTTGAAATATCATGTTATAGAGCGCCATGTGTCTACCACGACCGTAAATAATCTTTCTAGACCTTGCTGAAAATCACACAACGGTTTGTCGCTTTCAATATCATAAAAAACAAATACCTAACTTTTTGCTTTTAATTAAAGCGGCCTTCAGCTTTTCTAAATGTAAAACATTTTTTTCTTGATAGATCGATAACAAGAAAAATATTACATACATTCGTATGTAATATAGGTACGATTGCATACAACTTTTTGTAAAGACTTTATGTTTGCTGAATTAAAGGTGTAATGTAAAATGAACAAACATGTCATGAGATATTTCATATATTTAAACATTTTCATGGAATGTAATTAATGTATCATCATATTAAAGTTGCATGCCTTCCGATGAGAAAAATGATATCAAGGAAATCAAAATATGAAAAGAAAATTCACGGCCGATTGACTGCTTTGAAGCATATTCACAAATTTGAGTCACAGATTTGAGATATGATTATTTATTCATATTAACATCATTATTGGTTATATATTGATAAAAAAACCCTAAAGACACAGTTTGTAAATATTTATTACAATAAAATATGAAAAAGGTATTTTCTATCCTATACAACGCGCCGAGGTTAGCTATAATTATGATTCCCGCGCAAAGTCGCGGTGGTGATTACGGAATGCCGTTAGGGCCATTGCCTATGAATGTGTTGATCTGAAATGCGATAGTCGATAGAACGATGGTGAAATGCGAAATCACGAAACTACGATGGTGAAAATGCGAAAGCACGATGATGAAAACGCGAAAGTACGATGATGAAAACGCGACAGTACGATACTACGATGATGAAAGCGCGATAAACTATCGTGTTTTCACCATCGTACTGTCGCGTTTTCACTATCGTAGTTTCGTGATTTCGCGTTTTCATCATCGTACTGTCGTGTTTTCATCATCGTACTATCGCGTTTTCACCATCGTACTATCGCGTTTTCACCATCGTACTATCGCGTTTTCATCATCGTACTGTCGTGTTTTCATCATCGTACTATCGCGTTTTCACCATCGTACTGTCGTGATTTCATCATCGTACTATCGCGTTTTCATCATCGTACTATCGCGTTTTCACCATCGTAGTTTCGTGATTTCGTGTTTTCACCATCGTACTATCGACTATCGCGTTTCAGATTAACACATTCATAGGCGATGGCCCTTACGGCATTCCGGAATGCCGTTAGGGCCATCGCCTATGAATGGTTTGATCTGAAACGCGATACTCGACAGTACGATGATGAAAACGCGAAATCACGAAACTACGATGGTGAAAACGCGACAGTACGATGGTGAAAACTACGGAATGCCGTTAGGGCCATTGCCTATGAATGTGTTGATCTGAAACGCGATAGTCGATAGTACGATGATGAAAATGCGAAATCACGAAACTACGATGGTGAAAATGCGAAAGCACGATGATGAAAACGCGAAAGTACGATGATGAAAACGCGACAGTACGATACTACGATGATGAAAGCGCGATAAACTATCGTGTTTTCACCATCGTACTGTCGCGTTTTCACCATCGTAGTTTCGTGATTGCGTTTTCATCATCGTACTGTCGTGTTTTCATCATCGTACTATCGCGTTTTCACCATCGTACTATCGCGTTTTCACCATCGTACTATCGCGTTTTCATCATCGTACTGTCGTGTTTTCATCATCGTACTATCGCGTTTTCACCATCGTACTGTCGTGATTTCATCATCGTACTATCGCGTTTTCATCATCGTACTATCGCGTTTTCACCATCGTAGTTTCGTGATTTCGTATTTTCATCATCGTACTATCGACTTTCGCGTTTCAGATTAACACATTCATAGGCGATGGCCCTTACGGCATTCCGGAATGCCGTTAGGGCCATCGCCTATGAATGGTTTGATCTGAAACGCGATACTCGACAGTGCGATGATGAAAACGCGAAATCACGAAACTACGATGGTGAAAACGCGACAGTACGATGGTGAAAACACGATAGTTTATCGCGCTTTCATCATCGTAGTATCGTACTCTCGCGATTTCATCATCGTACTATCGCGTTTTCATCATCGTGCTTTCGCGTTTTCACCATCGTAGTTTCGTGATTTCGCGTTTTCACCATGATCGTACTATCGACTATCGCGTTTTACATTAACACATTCATAGGCGATGGCCCTAACGGCATTCCGTAGAAAACACGATAGTTTATCGCGTTTTCATCATCGTAGTATCGTACTGTCGCGTTTTCATCATCGTACTATCGCATTTTCATCATCGTGCTTTCGCGTTTTCATCATCGTAGTTTCGTGATTTCGCGTTTTCACCATCGTACTATCGACTATCGCGTTTTAGATCAACACATTCATAGGCGATGGCCCTAACGGCATTCCGTAGCATTCCGTAGGTGATTGGGATAATCACTTGATGCTGTAAATGGCAGCCATTTTAAGATACCAAAATGCCTTGCCCTCCGCGGACAGTTTATCCTGCCGAAAAGATATGAAAAAATACTTGCAATTCAAAGTTTGTTTATTACATAACGATTATCGATTTACTCTTGCACACTTTTTCTCTGCCTGATTGTAATAATATTGATGTGTTTTCATTGGCTTAAACCATCACGTTACCAATACACATGTAGGTGTGAACTAATTTCGTGTTCATTAAAATTATTCCGTTAAAAGACATATAACAATCTTATTTACAAATGAGTTGATAAAACAAAAGCCACCGCCGGGCGGGGGCAACGCTCGACTTTTTACTTTTTCTAAACGCAAACAAAGAAAGGATTGAACATATCTTAACGTTTACTTTTTATAAATTTAGTTGGTCTGTTTGTCCCAATAGTTTTGTTTATCTATTTTGTATATATATATGAATTGAAACATGACGCATTTTCTAAAAATAAAAACATGACACAATTTCTAAAAATAGAAACATGACGCAATTTCTATAATAGAAACATGACGCAATTTCTATAAATAGAAACATGACGCAATTCTATAAAAAGAAACATGACGCAATTCTATAAATAGAAACATGACGCAATTCTTTAAATAGTAACATGACGCAATTGACGCAATTTCTATAAATAGAAACATTACGCAATTGACGCAATTTCTATAAATAGAAACATGAGGCGATTGACGCAATTTCTAAAAATATAAACATGACGCAATTTTTAAAAATAGAAACATGTCGAATTTCTATAAATTGAAACATGAAGCAATTGACACAATTTCTATAAATAGAAATATGACACAATTGACGCAATTCTATAACTACAAACATGACGCAATTCTATAAATAGAAACATGACGCAATTTCTTTAAATA